TCAATGAGGGGGAAAAAGGGAAAAAGTGAGAGGTGATATTATTCAATTAAGTCTCATGAAAAGCTGACCTGAAACAGAAATGCCCATACCTGTTTCGCCACCTGTCCACTTGTCGGTAAGCTGAGTCTCTGAATTTCCCCTTCAGTGCAGGGCAGGTATTTATTCAAGCATTTTGAGGAAAAAAAAGTACTTGAGAGACTTAGCAAAGAAGTGAGAGCAACTCAGCAGCTTTAAAAAATAACAAGAATCTCTCAGTTTCATTCTCTGCTTCTCGGAAAACTCACTGCTCTTCATTTATTTTTTCAAGTTACCCTTGCCATTCTTTTCTTTTCTTCATGACATTATCAAGCAGCATGCTGTTAACAGCTCTGCTTATAATTGTTGACTTAAAATGTCTTGTAAGCTGTGAGTAGGACCTGCACTCCGCACCTCTGCCTACCACGAAAAGCGGATTCCCCTACAAGATGCAGTAATGTGCCTGGGACATTGCAGGTGGAGCCCCCGGTGTTCAGGTCCATGGCAGTCCCCGGCTCTCTTCTTCCCATTGTTCGCAAGCTGTACACCTGTGACAAGTTGGCAATTTCTGAGTGATAATGCAGAAACTTGCAAATTCCAGTTTGTCCCTCTGCTAAGCAGAGCTGTGCTAGATTTTGCTAAATAAAGAAACAAACAGCTCTCTCAGCCAAGAATCTCAGACAACGTATTGGCGGGGGTGGGGGTGGAAGCTGCGAACCTTAGAAACAGCTGGGAGTAAGTGACGCTCTCCAACTTTGACAAACTTGCCATAGAAACTTCAAGAGACTGTGGTCTGACTTACATGTGCATTTTCAGTTAAGTTTAAGTTCCAGGGTCTTTGGACAGAATAATGAATTTTTTTAATATAATTTTAAACCATTCTAACTAGACAACATGTAAATTTCTTACAGGGAGCAAACAGTTGTTCTAAGCATTGTAACCTTAAAGATAAACAAGAAAGCATTAGTAAATTCTGTTCCTCCTTCTGGGAAGGGGTACTCAGTCATTTTTCACTTGTAAGGATCAAAGAGAGTTGAGTATATTATTTACCCCTTATTGTTTTGTTAGGAGGACATGTAGAAATAAAAACAAATGACTGAGAAGCCAACTTGCTCAAGGTTGACACCCATGCCCAGGATATCTTTAGGGAAGACACAAATATGACCAATAATCTCCATCTAGAGGTCAGAGACTCTGTGAGTATGAATGTGTTTGATGTCCCTCTGCTCACCACTGTGTTCCTAGTGCCTAAAAAGCTGGCACTTATGAGATGCTTAATACCTATTTGCTAAATGGATCAGTGAATGATTGAGTTATGAATTTAGCGGTTACATAAAGGAAGTGAACTTCACACAGAAAACTATTTATCTGTTAATGTCACTAGAGTCAAAGATTAATAAAATTTATTTTATGTACGTTTTTCCCTCTAAGTTCTATCAGATTAATGAAATTTATTTCATGTGTTTTCCTCTATATTCTGTCAGATTAATGAACTTTGTTTCATATAAGTTTATTTCCCCCTAAATTCTATCAGAGGCACATTTTGAGTGCCTTCATTGTGAGAAGAAATAAACTAAGCATTGCTGATAGTGAGATAAATAAAGAGTCTGGGAGGCAGTAGGTGATTATGGAAGTGGTATATATTTTGAAAGAGGAAGAAGCAAAGCAATACCATTTACTAGCTTAGTGAACTTGGGCAAATTACCTACAATCCCTGAGCTTTAGTTGCCTCTTCTGTAAAATGGGGAGAAATAATTGTAGCATAAGTCTATTTTGTGATGATTGAATAAGATTAGGCAATGTCAAGTTCCTGGTACATGGTAAATGCTCACTGAGTGTTGGTCTTTTTGTTTCCCTGCTCCTTTAGACCTTTCAATCTAATTCTACTATTTTAGATGAATACACTAAATATAACCCAACAGGGGAAAATCTTGGAAGATCTAAAGAGGAACACAGAATTACTTCTTTTGTAAAGAAAAAATGCATGAAAGAATGACTCCTTTTGTTCTTTTTGTCCTGCCTCTTGCCTGTGCTCATGTTGTTCTACCTGTCTGGAACACCTTCCTTTCTTTTATTCAATTATCTAAATTTTATTCTATCATCTAATTTCTAAGCCATCAGACCTTAGGAACAGGACTTCAGAGCTTACAAGTGGGCTCTTGCATTGTTTGGTGAACCTTAAAACATAAATATTTTCTGTTTTATGGTACTCTATCAGTTGTCTTTTGCTGCATAAAAAATAGCCTCAAACTTTAGTATCTTGAAATAACAGCAATTTATTGCTTCCCACAGTCAGTGGTTTGGCTGGATGGCATCCTTTCTTATTTAGCCTGGATTCACTCATGTGAATGCAGTTAGCTGGAGAGTTGGCTGGGCTGAAATTTCCAAGAAGACCTCACTCACTTCTTAATGCTGTTTTCTACAGTACTTTGATTCTCCTTCATGTGGCCTTTTATCTTCTGTAGACAAGGCCAGTTTCCTTCTATGGTGGTATGAAGGCAGGTCTCCAACTGGGTAAACATGGAAGCTGCATGGTCTTTTAAGGATAAGCCTCCACAACTTGCACAAAGTTGTTTCTACCATGTTCTATTAGACATAGCAAGTTACAAGACCAAACCAGATTCAAAGGGGTAGAAAAATAAATTTTACTCCTGGATAGGAGGCATGCCAATGTCACATTGCCGAAGGTTGTACATATTGGAATGGGAAGTATTCCTGGTCATTAAATAATCATCTTCAGGTGCTTTTTTGCTATTATAGCTATACCTCTTTTGCTATTGGGTATTTGTGTCTAAGTTCTCTTTGGATTGTTTTTTTTTCCCTCTGATCTGCTTTTGAAGGCCTGCCCTTATTAATTGTCTAGTTTCAAAGACCTCTGTAGTCACCAAGTTCCTATTCTGAGGTTTTGCCTTAGAGTCATTAAGGTACTCTTCTAAACAGAGGATTGTCAAATCTTGTTTCATACTTTCTTCTTTTATTATGCAATATCCACAAGAAGAAGAAACAGTAGAGAATTATTTTCATGGTAGGAAGTGTGCCACCTATTTTAGAAAGGAGAAAGATAAAAGTTAAGTACTATTGGTTTCAAATGATAATTTAAAAAATACTCAGCAAACCACCATGGCACACATTTTCCTGTGTAACAAACCCGTATGTCCTGCACATGTATCCCAGAATTTAATAAAATAAAATAAAACTTAGTATAGACCCAACAAAATATACATAGAATGTATATGTAGAAAACTCTAAAAATCTAAGGAAAGAATCAAAACAATTTTAAATAAATGAAGAAATATTCCATCTTCATGGATTGGAATACTCAATATTGTTAAAATGTCAATTTCTCAACTTTCTGTAGAGTCAATATAATCCCAATGAAAATCTCAACAAGATAATTTGGGGATATCAACAAAGTTACTCTAAAATTTTTATAGAAAGGTAAAATATCAAAATAGCCAACATAATACTGAAGAAGAACGCAGTTGAATGAGTAACAACACTCATTGAAACTTACTAAAAAATTGCAGTAATCAAGACAGGCTAAGATATCAAAATAATAGGCAGAAATCAATGGAACAGAATAGAAAGCTCATAAATAGACCAACACAATATCTTTGATAAAGGAAAACTGGCAATTCAATGAAGAGATGATAGTCTTTTCAATAAATGTTGCTAGAACAATTGTATGCCCATATGCAAAAGAAAAAATCTAGACATAGACCTCACACCTTTCATAAAAGTTAGCTCAAAATCAATCATAATCCTACATATAAGACACAATATTGTAAAATCTCTAGAAAAAATGTAGGAGGCAATATATGTGACTTTAGGTTTGGCAAGGAGTTTTTAGGTACAACACCAAAAGCATAATCTATGAAAGAAAAAAAAATGATAAAATACCTTTTGATTTTTTGCTCTGATATGACATTGTTAAGAGACCAAAAAGGCAAGTCACACTCTGGGAGGAAATATTTTCAAAACAAATATTTGATAAAGCAGTTGTATTCATAATACACAAAGAACTCTTAACAATAAGAAAATAACCCAAAAAAGAAATGGGCAAAATATCTGAAGAGATATCTCACAAAGGAAGATATGCAGATGTCAAATAATCATATAAGAATGCTCAATATCTTTTGTTATGAGGAAATTAGATGCTAAATTTTGTCAAATGATTTTTCTTTATTTTAATAATCATTTTTGTCTGTTATTATGATGGATTATATTGATTAGCTTTTGAATGTTGAACCAGTTCTTCATTAGTGAGATATACCCTATTAAGTCATGATGTATTAATATTGTTTCATGTACTGCTGTATTTTTTGTCTAATATTTTGTTGAATATTTGTATGTCCATGTGTAAGAGGGATATTGGTTTTCAATTTCTTGTTTCTTATATTACATTTATCTGGCTTTTTTGTGACAAAATGACAAAATATTTCCTTTTCTATTTTCTGAAAAACAAATTGTATAAAGCTTATATATTTCTTAAAATTTTGGCAGACTTTGTCAATGAAGCAATTTGGTCCTAGAATTTTTTGCTACAAAGTTTTAATTATGAATAATGTTCTTTAGCTCATATAAAGCTATTCAAGTTATCTATTTCTTCTTGAATAAATTTTGTAGTTTCCGTCTTTTTAAGTACTGGGTCCATTTCATTTAAGTTGCCAAATGTATAGGCACGCAAATGTTTTTATTATTTTCTTATTATTTCAGATTTCCTTCTATTTTATTTTCCGAGGGTCTGAAATGATATCCCCCTTTTATGCTTGATATTGAAAATTGGTATATCCTCACTTTTTTCTTGGTCAGTCCATCCAGATATTTTTGAATTCTATTCATCTTTTCAAGGAACCAGCTTTTGGTTTCGTTTATTTTCTCTATTTCTTTTTCTTTTTATTAATTTCAGTTATTTTTTATTGTTCCTTTTCTTTTTCTTGTGCTTTAATTTGTTTCTCTTTTTCTAGCTTATTTTATTTTATTTTTTTTAGCACTCAATAATTAATCTTTTAATGCAACAATGTACGAAGTGCATGCAATTACTACCTGCTCAATCTACACACTTAGTCTTAATGGAAGTTTACAAGAATTTCATTAACTGGGTTTTCTTCCTCCTTAACCAAGTTGAGAACACTGGTAGCCCCCTGAGGGTATAACCTCTCCTTCTAGTCCCCTTAACTGACTGACTTAAACTTGATCCACTGATTGGCACCACGAACTTCAAAAGGTGGGTCGCTGGAGTAGATGTGGTAGCCCAGCTCCTCCAAAGGTGGCTCAGGATAGGCCGTGGCAAACTGGGCAGCATCCTCAATCTCCTTCCTCACTTCCACATCAATTTCCTTTAGTTCTTCCACACTGGCAAGATTGCTATTCACCATTCTGTCCTTGAGAAGCATAATAGGGTCACTTTTACTTCTTACTTCCTGAATTTCTTCTCGTGTACGGTAACTGACTCCAGGATCACTCATACTGTGTCCGTGGTAACGATAAGTCTGCAGCTGCATCAGGATGGGCCCCTTCCCAGATCTACAATAGGCAGCAACAAACCTTGTCGCCTCTCGGACGCCCAGGCTATCCATTCCATCCACTCTCAGCCCAGGAATGAAATCGCCTCTCTTGTAGTAATCAGTGCTGGCTGCTGCTCTCTCAACAGATGTTCCCATTCCATAGCGATTGTTCTCACAGATGAAAATACAAGGTAATTTCTACAAAGCTGCCATGTTGTAAGCTTCGAATAGCTGGCCCTGGTTAGCAGCACCATCGCCATATAAAGTCAGCAGACCTCATCTTTTCCATTATACTTACAGGCTAGAGCAATCCCAGCGCCCAGGGGCACCTGCGCTCCCACGATGCCATTGCCCCCGTAGAAGTTCTTGGCATACATGTGCATCGATCCTCCTTTCCCTTTAGCACAACCTCCTTTTCGTCCTGTAAGCTCTGAGAGAATTTCTCGGACAGAAAGGCCCCGGGTGAAGGTAAAGCCGTGAGCCCGGTAGGCTGTTATGAGATGGTCTGTGGGGTTGATGCCGGCTTCCAGGCCCACACAGCAAGCTTCCTGACCATCACACAAGTGACAGAAAACACGAATAATTTTCTGTTTATACAGCTGATCTGCTTTCAACTCCATTCGGCGCACAGTCTGCATCATCCTGTAGTATTTGAGCCCATCCTCCCTGGTGAGCACTGTTGTGACAGAAGGGCCTTCTTCCAGTCGGTGAAGGTCATATTTCTTAATTTCAAATGTAGCATCATTTGCAAAATTACGGGATGCTACCAGCACTCTGCTTGCCAGCTTCTAAGAAGCACCAGACAACACGCGGGAGACGGCGGTGAGCATCTTCCTCATGAAGCACAGGCACTGGCGGCAGCGGCGACTCCTCCTAACTTCTTAAGTTGAAGACTTAGATCATTAGTTTGAGACCATTCTATATTTCTAGCATAAACATTTAATGCTATAAATTTTCCTCTAGGCACTATTTTAGCTTCATTCCGCAAATTTGTCTTCATTCTCATCAATTTCATTCAGTTCAAAATATTTTATCGTCTACTCCAGACTTTTTCTTTAACCTGTGTCTATTTAGAAGTATGCTATTTAATTTGCAAATATTTTGGTACTTTCCCGATATCTTTTTAGTTTTGATTTCCACTATGATCGTAGAAGATATTTTGTATTATTTCTATTTTTAAAATGTGTTATAGTTTGCTGTAAGAGCCATGATATAGCTCATCTAGGTTATTATTTTTGTGGATTTAATAAGAATATGTATTAACTGTTGCTAGATACAGCGTTCAACAAATATCAATTACATAAAATTATTTGATAGTGTTGTTCAGATCTTGTATATCCGTGCTGGTCTCCTATCTACTTATTTGTTGATAATTCAAAGAAGAGTGCTAAAGTCTCCAAGTATATTCGTGAATTTGTCTATTTCTATTCCTTTAAGTCTTATTATTTATCCTTCTTTTGAGAATTTGTCATATTTTTCTAGTTATTTATTTTTCTAATAATTTTGGGTTATATCCTGGATATTTTAAATATTACCTTGAGAGACTCTGGGTGCCATTAAAACCTTCTGTTGAATGTCAAATTTTTCATTTATCAAACCATCAACCCAGTTAGGTTAAAACTAAAAAATTATTTCTTGCCTTCTGTGTGTGGTATTTCCAATGTCAGCTATAGTTTCAAAGTCTTTGTCATATTGCTTTGGCTGTTTTGCACATATATCTCACAGAGATAATTCTGGGACTTGGGTGGTGGTTTATATTATAGTTCAATTCCAGAAGCCTTTACTATGCTGATTCATATTAATGCCTATTACTCACACGCACAGCTTAGGAGTGAGCCCAGGACTTGTGTCAGTTCATATATAAAGTGGGGGTCATCTCCAGCTTTCTTCTTTCTGAGATTTCTCATAATACTCTCTAGTATCAGGGAGTTCTTTTCTCCTTAGAGTTTTTACTGCCTCATGTTCAGGTAAAGTATTTATCTCTATTATGGTCATTCTTCAAGTTTGGCTCTCTCTCTAGTTTGTCTGCTATTGCTAACTTTTCAGAGTTTTCAGATAGTTGACTTTTAAATATTGTCCAGTTTTTAGTTGAAATCAGTGGGAGTGATAGGTATAATGGGCTTACTCTGTTTCGGCCAGAATCATGAAGTGTAAACCTGGGTTTTAATAAATTACAATAATATATTGCACTTATCAAATAGTTAATGACAGTCTGAGGATTTTTTTGTGACATGAATTGCTTAAAAAAATGTCTTTGACATGTATCAAGAAGTTGGTCTCCAACATGATGTCTGTGTATGCTGACATTTAATAACTGTCTTAATGAAAGACTAGAGATGACTGCCACCTAGCAGGATGAATGAATGTATTTTTCATTATAAATAGGTCTTGATAATTAAAAGTAATCTACAAATAAATTAATAAAAATGTTTACATCACAGAAAACATTCTGTTAAAGGTTTAAGTATTAAGTTAATTTAAGAAAAAAGAAACCTAAAGTAAACTTTGACCTTCTCAGACACATATGTTATGTAAAATACATTTTATTTCAATTAAAGGCTATTTTCTTTTTGTCAATCATATCCTGGTAAACCTACACAATTATTGATCTTAATTGTGGAAGGCTTGAGATATTGTTGATGCTGGATAATTTGTTTGCTTGCTGGCTTTGTAAGTGGTACCACCATGAAGCGGCACAATGTGCTTCTGACTTTGGAAGGTCACCACAGTTCTAGAATCTGTTGTTCAGCCTTATAAGCTTTAAATGTTTACATTATCAACACAGAAATAATGAATCCGTCTCTTGGGAACAGGGTTGCGTCAGCCAAGCTCACAGTCTGATAAAGAAACCAGAATGATCAGTTTTCAATGAGAATAATAGCTGTCATAAGAATCAGAGTATTTCTAGTGGCTTGAATGACCCACCCTTTTCCTAAAGGCAGATCTAAAAAGGAACCACCACAATGAGAAGATGTGCAGTTATGCAGATGTGCAAGAGTATATTGACTTGAATATTTAGTAGTGGTATAGATAAATTCTTGCCCCCTTACCTAATAACTGTGAGATCTTGGGCACATCATTTTAACAATGTTGAGAGGGTGGTTTCTTGTTGTCCTTGAATTATTTAGAGATTTAAAAAGTGAGAAGTCCAGGATCTCACACTCTTAATCAAACAGTACAAATAATTGTAAGGAACAAATCCTACCACTGCTATAGTGAATTAACAGTATGCCCTCCATGTGAGCAATCAACTGCTAGCCATTTCCCTTCAAATATGAAACAAAAAAAAGTGAGATATTTAGAAAAAAATTCGCTCTTCATTGTGCCGAACAACAAAGGAGACAGACCTTAGAAGAATGAAGAGTGGAAGACATAAAAAAGGAGGAAACACCAACCACCCCTCAACCCCGCCCCACAAATGTGCACAAATAAACATGCAGATATAAACCGTCATTAAACTCATACAGTTTGGTTTATGGTAGAGAGGGGGAGATTCCTGAATCTGGTATGAAACTGCTATTTCAGCCTGAACTGGACGATTTTAATAAGTAAAATTAACCAGCAAGGTTTAGAATCTGATTGATACATCATGAAAATACTTGCTACCTTTCAGAGTTGTGTTTGGGAAAATTAAACCAGTTCATGTTCATGCCTAAGAGAATTCTTAGTAAATGGCTACAACTTTCTAAGATGGGGAATAATTGTACGTTTTTTTGTTGTTGTTGTTTTGTTTTGTTTTGTTTTTAAATATGGTTAAGGTGATAAGTCAATCAGGCTGGGATTAAAAAGCCCTTAGCCAAGTGCACAGTGTGTAGTAAGCTGTTACAGTATCCTCCCGTGCTGAGAATGTAGGTCCACCCACACACCCAGGACAGTGCTTGTTTAGATACTGCCAATAATTGTTTCAGACTCTCTCTCTCACTCTATGTCTGACAAGAACAGCTTCCATTCTGAGTGACATATTTTCCTTTATATATGCTAGTATCTTCAAAATATGGTCCACTCATAGAGACTATCTGTTACCCTTAGGTTGATTTCATATAACCTCATTGTAAGTTGATTATATATTTTAAATCCAAGAAAACAACGTTTTAAAAATCTTTCTCTTTTAACCAGGTCTAAGTGAATGAAAAAACCAGGGTATGTCAGCATAATGATGGTGTATATAATAAGCGCTATAAATAAATCAAGCTTACAAAATACTTTACATTTGTACAAATAATCACAAGAAAAGAAGGTATGGTAAAAAAAACAAAATGTTACAGAAGTTCAGAGATGGAAGATATCACTTCTGGCCTCCGAGTTTCATAAATAAGTGACCTTTTGAATCAGATGTTAAAAGATGAGAAAGATTTTGCTGGGTAGAAATATGTATAAGTAAGACATTTCCTGCAAAGCAAGTGGCACAAAGCATAATAAAAATGGGAATGTTCAAGGACTGTTAAGGAGACAGAAACCAGATCAGTTAGGCATAGCGTACTTCTTGGTATTAAGTCTGGGACCAGATACATAAGGCCTTGAAAACCAAGATGGGAAGTTTCCTTTTATTCGGAATTAAATTAAAGAACATTTAAAATTCGGGAGGAAATGTGGATATACAGAGATAGAATGATAAAAGAAATTGACAACATGTTAATGTTTAGGAAGTCTAGGTGAAGGTTATATAGGATATTTTTTGTAAAATTCTTGCAAGTTTTCTGTAAGTCTAAAATTGTTTCAAGAAGTTTCAAAAGCTACATTTGTTTTAAAATACAAAGCCTCAAGGAATACAGTAGCACCGTGAGAGCAATGTTTTAGGATGGCTGCGCAGAGCATTTTGTTGGTAGAAATTTGGAAAGCACCACATGGTTATTATGAGATCCTGGAGGTAAAGTCATTGTAGCCCCAACTAGGGTGAAGATGAAAAATAAGTAACAAATGTGAGAAATGTAAGACAGGGAGAACCAATAGGGTTTGGGGACGTATTTGATATATAATATGAAGGCAGAAAAATTTAAAAGGGCTGTGAAGAATCCCAGACAGATATGTTTATAGACTTGATGGTGATGATGGTTTCGCAGATATAGATTTATTCCCAAACATATCAAATTGTACACATTATATTTGATACACTGAATTATATATATATTGTAGGTAGCTTTTTACATGTCAATGGAATCTCAATAAACTCAATAAAGTGTTGTGGTTTTTTTTTTAAGACTACGATACATTCACACACCAAAACTGATTTTCAGGTAGGTGATTAAAATAATTGTAATAATCATGAAGAAAAGTAAAGGTCAAAGCAATTAATACATGTGACTTTATGTAAACTGAGTTTTAGGTGACTATGGGACATCTGAGTTGAACAGGAGGAATATAAAAACTTTATGGCATGGGTATTTATGGTATTAATGAGTATTTGCCAGAAACAGGGAAGCATTTTTAGAATAAAGAGAAGTGAGGACAGAACCTTGAAGACTGTCCATTTGATGGAGTAGAAGCATGGAAAGAAGTCAATGAACGTGACTGTGGTACTCAATGTCCTAAAAGGCCCTCAAGAATTCCTGTCTCCTGGTTTTCACACCTTCCTGTCATCTCCTCCCTTTGCACGCAGACAGGACATAGTAGTGGCTTGTTTCTAGTTGATAGAAACAGCAAAAATGAGAAAATCTCACTTCCAATAATAGGTCATAAGAGATTGTGTCTTCCATTTTTCTGGTATTCACTCTCTCTGCCTCTTCTCACATTATTGTCATGATGGAGAGGGACACTTGGCAAAGAAAAGAGGGCAGCCTCCAGCCAGCAGCCAGAGGGGAACTGAGACCGCTGTCCAACAGGTCCTGTAGAATTCAATTATCCCAACAACCACATGAGTGAGCTTGGA